GGTCAGGGCCGGGCCGGGCTCAGCGGCCGTCGCCTTTCTGCCCCCAGCGCGGGCCGCTCGGAGCCGGGCGCCGCCGCCTGGATGCCGTGAGTCGCTAGGAGCGAGCCCGGCCCTTTCGGTGAGCCCCCCTCTCCTCCCCCTGAGTGTGGGGACTCCCCTCGCCCGGCTCTGGGCCCTCGGTGCGTTCCCTCCCTTTTCTGAGACTTTTCAGAGAGGAAGAGAAAGGTGGGAGCTAAGTTTCTCAGAGGGGACGGGGAGTGTGCAGCCCCGAGCGCAGGTCGGACACAGGCAGGGCTGGTCACTCCCCAGGCAGCGGCCGGAGCCTGGCCCTCGGAGCTGCCGGCTGAGAGCCTGGGCTTCGGAGATGCCCGGCGTGGGTGACCTGCTGGAAACCCTGCCCCGGGGGAGGAGAGAGAGGGGGGAGTGGGAGAGGGGCAGTGAGACCGCCCGGTGCCCCCCGGGTGCCCTCTGCCTGCCCGTGGTCCAGGTCTGCTAAGAACCTGTGTGCCCCTGGCAGGCCTCTTACCCTCCGTCCCCACCTCGTCCCCACCTCGTGCTGAGGATTGATGGAGTAGCTGTGTTCTGACCTGTAGACTGCGCCTGGCCTGTAGTTAAGGACTTAGCTATAGTCCGCCGTCCTCAAGGAAAAGAGGAGCAGAAGTAACCAGAGGCCAGCTGGGTGGGATGGGCGCGCGTCCAGAGGGTGGCGGGGCCCTCGCAGCAGGAGCTGGATGGGTGCAGAGACCCGCGCGGGACCCCTGGGTGTCAGGACACCAGAGGTTTCGAAGTTTACTTTGCCTCTCCGTGAGGCCAGCACAGTGTGCTCATGGGCTCCAAGGACAATATTTCAGCCAAAAAAAAAAAATTGACACAGAACCCACAGGGAACAAAGGATTCCATAGAGCTAAGCTTTCCATAGGGCTGCAGGGTTTACTTTCAGCTCCCAAAACTTTTAAATATTTGGGGTCACATGCTTCCCTTCCTCTTTAAACAGTCTTTTCTGTGCTGTGACACCCCCCCCCCTTACTCAGCTCGAGTCCTCTGTAGGAGGGTGAGACCTTTGCCCCACGCCGCGTGGAGGGCTGGGCCGTCTGCCTCGAAGGGCTCGCTCACCAGCCTCTTCGCTGTGTCCCTGGGCCTATTCCTGGATAGTTTCTTTGCTGCTTGTTTTTGTTTATTTTTCCCCCTCCCCTGAAATGAGTGTCTTTACTCCTTGTACCGTACAAATAGGAAGAATGGGGAAAGGCCCGTGGGGGGAGAACTGTCAGATAAATGATACGCACACAAAAAGGAAAAAAGACACACACCCCCTGCACGCCACCCCAGGATGCCTTTCTGAGAACTACCTAGTACCGGAGGTGGGGCGAGGAGATCGAAACCATACAGATTAAATTCTGAACACCTGGAGATGTTGCAGTGAGAAGGGACAGGGCAGCAGTGGACCCCGGGTGTGGTTCCTCTCCCCCGCAGGCCATCACCCTTCCCCCAGGGGATGAACCACCCTGGCCAGGGATGAGTAACTGTTACGTCTCCGTTGTCTGTCTCCACTTCTAGCAGCCTTTCCGTCCTTCCTAACCTATGGGCTGAAAAAGTAGGATGAAGTTTGTTAGCACTGGTGGCTCAAGTCTGGGAAGCGTAGCTCTGAATTTCGTTCCTGTTTTGATTATGGTCTCCTCCGGTTCTGGATGGGCGAGCTTGCTGGGTAGCAAGATTCTGGGGGCCAGATATGCTTAGCAAAGGAGAGTTTCCTATGCGAGTCTCTCTCTGTGGCACATTTCCAGTGCTGGGGTTTTGTTCCTCATGGTTTCCCTGTTTGTTAATAAGTGTTTGGACCCTGGCACTTGCTTGTCCTCCCCCTGGCAGTGGTCCATGGGTCTTGGGGAGGCTGGGCAGGTAGTATAGCTTAGCTGTGGGAAGGAAGAGGCCATGTGGGGGAAGGGCAGGTTGGCTGATATCTGGTCCATCTCTGGGGCGGCTGGTCAGGGCTGGAAGCATGTCCCTAGCTGACTCACTCTTGTGCCTTCTATGACTCAGTTTCCCCAGGTATGACCAAGGCTGCCAGCTGACAGGCAGAGCAGCCCTAAGAGCCTCAGTGATTGTGGTTAAGAAATAAGGAGGCTTGTGGCTTCAGTCATCCTTTGTAGCTCCCTTCTAGGTCACTCCATGTGTAAACACCTCTGGCCACACCTCCTCCTGGGTCAGAGCACCCAAGGCAGGGCTGGGGTTGGGCCAGAGCAGGCTGGCTGACAGGTGGGCACATTGGTCAGAGCAGGCTACCAGCCTCCCCTCTCTTCTGTCTCTCCAGCTGCCTTGGGGTGCGGCGTGGGGGGCCCAGAGCCATGTCGGACCTGCTACTACTGGGGCTCATTGGGGGCCTGACTCTGCTGCTGCTGCTGACACTGCTGGCCTTCGCCAGGTACTCAGGGCTGCTGGCTGGGGTGACAGTGAGCGCCGGCTCGCCCCCCATCCGCAACGTCACTGTGGCCTACAAGTTCCACGTGGGGCCCTATGGCGAGACGGGGCGTCTTTTCACTGAGAGCTGCAGCGTCTGCCCCAGGCTCCGCTCCATCGCTGTCTACTATGACAACCCACACATGGTAAGGAGACTTATGTGCCCTGGCAGGGTTTGTTGGAGGAGGGGCGTTTTGTTTTTCAGGAAGTGGTGGGAAAATCTCTTGAGTTGGCCCTGCAAACCACCTCCTCTCTGAGCTCAAAACTCCCTCCAGATCTAGCCTGGACTTCTGCCCCCTTCTCGGAGTGTGTGCTGATTTTCTGCTTGCCCAAGTCCTGTTCCCCTGGCTCATGGCTACCCGTGGACAGGGGACCATACACCACTAGGAGTCCCTAGCCTCTGCCCCGGCTTTGGTCCCCTGCCTCCTCTTCTTGTCCCTCCTCCTTTCATCCCTATTTGAGGCCAGTGCTCTAAGGCCAGGCCTTTCAGATCCTGCCTTTGTTTGGGGTCATATCATGTTGTTTCTGTGTCTTCACTTTTTCAGTTCTCCTGCTGTGGCAGCAGGTTTTCCAGGACTGAGAGGGTAGGCCCTGGGCATGGGACTTGGAATCCCACCCCTCCCGCCATTCTGGTGACCCCTGGCACAGTTATAAGGTATTACTTTGGATGTCAAGCTGCCTGGTTTGGAGAGGGCCTCGGGGGGTAAGTGAGCCACCCAGAATGTCAGAGATGCTGGGGTCAGAGACTAACCCAGCATCATTGGCACCCTGTGGGCGTCTGGCTACACTTACAGCCTGTAGTGAGTCAGGGCTCACCAATGTGGTCTCCTGCAATGCCATGGGCGGTGCTCACAGCTGCATAGGCTGGCAGCTCTGTAGAGAGTTCTTCAGCCTCCAGCTCTGAGCTTTGGCAAACCAGGCATTTGGAATCCCCCAGCTCCGGTTTCCTTGCCTGGAAACCTCACGCGGGCAAGGCCTACAGCTGACCCATTGTCTCCTGACCAGGCCTCACTGGGGCACTCAGTCAAAACAAGGGTGTGCTGACTCCCTCTCTGTGCCTGGTTCTGCTCAACACCCGCACTCGAGATTAACAGATGTGGCCCCACCCTCAGGAAGCTTTATGTGGTTGGCAAGTCAGCCTTACATATGAATCTCCACCAAGGCACTGTGCTCGATGCCCACAGAACTTTGAGCTGTGGGTTTGGAGGAGGGTGCCTCAAGTCTGCCAGGGAGGCTCCGAGAGGCCGTAAATTTCAGCTGGGCCTTCTGCCATGAGTAGAATTTTGTTCTGCTCAGAAGGGCCTCCTGGCTAAGGGAACTGCAAAAGCCAGGGCCTGCAGACATAGGATGACGGGAAGTGTGGCCAGGGGCCATTCTGTGGGGGGAGAGAGAGGTAGAAGCGTTCCTTGGGCTGGGCAGTGGGAGGTACAGCAGGTTGGGAGGAAAGGTGCAGCATAGTTTGCCACCTGCGATTTAGGAAGCTACCTGAATGGCAGGTGGAGGAGGGAAGGATATGAGGTAGAGAGGCCATTGAGGATATTGGGCTGGGCTCTAGTAAGAGGTGACATAACCTGGTTGAGGGATGAATAGACATTGAGGTTTTGAGGTCACATGGCTGGGTGATAGCATTAAATGGAAGCCAAAAGCACTGGGACCCAAGTGGAATGGGGAAGGCCAGTGGAAAGCTCCTAGACAAGATGCCCTACCCCCACCCCTGCAGGGTCTCTTGGGTAAGTGCTTGCCCCTCCTTCCACACCTGGCCCAGTTGGAGCCTCGATGAGGCCTCAGTGAGAGGGCGGAGCGTCCTTGCAGCTTCCTCCCTCTTCACAGGCTTGTCTACCTGTTCTCAAAGCCACACATTGCCTCAGGTTGAGCAGCTAATTCCAGAATGGGTAATGGCTAAAACAGCAGATTACCTTGGGGTCAGTGCTGGCGGCTGGCCCAGGGAAAGTGAGATAGAAGAACTCTGGCATGTGGCACTCTCCATATAGCCTCTTGACCCAGTACTGCCTCTGGGCAGCCCACCACCATACAGCTCTCCTAGAGGTGTGGTAGACCCTATGGGCCACCAAGGTTAGCATGGTACAGCCTGACTTGGGTGCCAGTTTGGGGACAATGGCCTGAGACTATGGCCTTGGAGTACAGCCTTGATGCGAACATTTTGGGATTCTGGTTCTGTTTCTTCACTGGCCTGCTGTGTGATCTGAATGTTACATAACTTCTCTGAGCCCCCATTTCCTCATCTGCAGAGTAGTGTTAAAATATCTGTTTCATAGGTAGGCCGGCAAGGGTTAAATTAAGTGACACAGGTGAGGAATTCACCCCAGCACCTGGCCCTCAACAAGTATTTAACAGCAACAACAAAAAAGGGTGGAAAAGACCCTCATGCTAATTACGTGTGCTGAAGGCTTAGGCTGAGTACTGGCCTGACTATGGACCTTTGTCCAGCACAGAGCTTGAACATATAGGTCAAAGTGGCCCCTCTGATCCTGTCATTCCCAGTCCTGGGTCACCCTAGAAGACACCTGTGTCCCCATTCAGAGTTGGGTCACATCCTGGCACCTAGATGTGTCAGGGATGCTTAATCCCCATCTACTCTGGGAACTGGGCAGTGTGTTCTCTGCATGAAAGAGATCCTAAAAGGTTCAGGGAACCCCGGACCTCCAGGAATTCATGGCTCCCCATAAAGACCTGAGGCCTCTGTGTCCACACTGCTAATACTGTAGAGGAGGAGACCGCAGATCAGACAGCAGGAGTTGAGGTACTTACCTCACATGGTTCACTCGTACGTTTTTGTTTCTATCCAACAAATATTTGTGCCACTCTGCTGGACACTGTGGGGACAAAAGGACCTAGCTCTCAGACCCTCTCAGTGTGGGGATGTCAGGGGAGCCTGGTAAAGAGGCCCCATCTGGTCCTGAAGAAGCCTAAGAGTCCAAGCTTTCTGCTCCCTGGGCTGCCTCCCCCAGTAGTGGCCAGCATGGGGCCCTGCATATTGTTGTTCACTGAAGGGATAGGCTGTGGCTGAGCTGTTTGAGTGTCCCATTCCCACTTTTTCTCCCTAACCCTCCCCAGCTCAGCAGAATCTGAGCCAGAACCTGCTTCTCTGTGACTGTGGGGAGGAAGTGAGACTATTTCAGGCTCTGCCAGTAGGGCAGTGAGTGACCAGCTGAGAGGCGGCCACCTGCTGTAGGTGCTGCCCACCCCCTGAGGTATGGACTGACAGCTCCCTAGCCATGCGCCTTCCGGGCCTCAGCCCCTAGCCTCAGCTCCCCCGGCTGAGGCTGGGTCCTAAGAAAGGCCTGGTGAGGTCTCACCTGGTCTGGCTGTGCGCCCAGGAAGTAGCACAGGAAAGGGCACCATCAGGGCAAGATCATGGCAGTTGTTGTGGACATGTTTATATCAGATGCTGCTTGAATATATATATCCTTGAGGTAGGTAGGTAGATAGATTGATAGACTGATTAATGTGTGTATTTCAGTCAGCCCTGTATCCTGAAGTTCTGGATGGGAGGAGGCTTCAAGGTCTGAGCCAGTAGTTCTCATGAAGGATTCTGTTCTCCATCCCTGAGGGCCTGGGAGGAGGTGGGGGGAGGAAAGAGGGAGCATGTGGCAAGAAGTGGACAGACCCTGGCAGTGTCTCATAGGTGTCCATCTCCTTTCCAGGGTCCAGCATTCATGGAGTGTGGCCATTTCCTCTCCTAAGTACTGAGGGAGGGGGTGAGTCTCAGAGTCACTGATCTGTCATCCATCCCTCCTGCCAGAGCACATGTGCATGTGTGCACACAGACTCATACTCACTCTCTAATCTAGTTCTGTCCTGTCCTGTCCTTGAATAGCTAGAAAAGGGTCCTAAGTGCTGTGCCCTCAGCTCCACTGGGAGCCTTGGGTGTAGCGGAGGGGGGAGGAGTGGGGAGGACCCTGAGCACCTCACTTGATCCTGGCCAGCTCTCACCTATGACTGGGCTGCTGTCATCATGCTCATGGGTCTGTCCTGCCTGCCATCCTGACCCTCCAACCCACCTCCTGCCCCACCTTCTATTGCTATTGCCTCCACTGTTGTTTTTGGGGCTTAAGCAATCTGCCTGCCTGCCCTTGTGGGAGCCTGGCTGAGGCAAGTGGGGCAACCAGTTCAGTACCTGGCCAAGCCCAGGAGGGGGTGCTTGCCCCAGGCATGGAGTGGGTGGGGGACTGGTGGTGCTTGGGTTCTGCCTTTAGTAGCTGGACTGCCACTGAAGCTGCTTTTTTCCTAGTCCACTGAGAGTGAGCCTGGGGTCACCAAGTCTGTAGGGGCTAAGGCTGGTAAGAGTCATGACTTAGGCCTATCAGAACTTCTGTAAGGGGGGGAGGGGATGGACCCTCTGCCCTCCCCAGAGGCACTGAAGTCACATGGAGCCTGGGAAGGGGTGAGGGAGTAGGATATTGCAGGTTTGACCCCTCAATAAGGGTAATGGGAATGTGGGCTGGGCTGGTATTTCCCAGAGATCCCCTACCCCAGTTTCTCTGTGATGATTTTCTTCAGACAGAGTCCAGGCCTTTGCTCCACAGCTGGTTAACAGTGTGGGGCAGCCCTGGGATGGTGAGCCCCTCCCTGCCCAGCAGAGCTGCCTTCAGAGGCAGAAGTAAGGTATGGGAGGAGAAGACTTTGGCCCTGTCCTCTTGGGTTTGAATCAAGGCTTCACTGCTTACCAGCTTGTGACTTTGAGCAAGCCACTTGGTCTCTGAGTATCCCTACCTCAGGGTCTTTGTGTTTTAGGGGGACTAAATGATAGGGATACGGCCCAGTATCCAGCCCCTAATAGGTGCTTAGCACTCTTGGAGTCTGCTCGTGCCTCTGAGGGCCTTGTGCCACTGGAACTTGGTATTTTCAGGAACCCTGCCTCTGGCCTTGCCCCCTGCAGGTCGCCTGGGCATGTGAAGAGGCATAGCGAAGGGAGAAGCCATTCCTAGCCTGGGCCTGTTTCTCAAGCTCCCGAGTGGTGGGTTGGTTGGTTGGCACAGGTCTGGAGCTGGTCTCCCTGAGTTTGAACCCTCACTCCATCCCTGCCTTGCTATGTGCCCTTTGCAGAATAGCTTTGCTCTCTGGGTCTCAGAAACAGATTTGATAACAGTATCTACTACCTAGTGCTATTTACATAATGAGCTGGTGCATGGAAAGCAGCAACTGGGGCGGGTGGTGAGCCCCTTGTCAGACCTATACCAGCTGGTGGTAGGATTATGTTTGGGGGTGAAAAAATGCCCTGAAAAACTTTTGAGATGGGAGTTCCCAGAAAGCACCTGGATCCCACTTTGGAGATGGGCATCCTGCTAACTCTCCTCCCCCCAGCCTGAAGTGTGGGTTTTATCTTCTGGCAGGGGTATCTGCATTGCCCATGTCCTGACTAGTGCCCACCCCACTGTGCCTTTGGACACTAGCTACCCAGGGAGGTTGCATCTGCTGGGCTTGGTGTGTTGGCCTGTAGGACCCAGGAGGGTCAGTGAGTCCACTGTTCACCCTCCAGCCATGGGCAGGTGCAGCTGCCCTGTTCCCCTGGGGGCACCGTGCAAGTGAAGACCACTGCCCCTACTCTTCTTACCTTGGGCAGCTCTGGGCTGGGTAGACTAGCCAGGGAGGAGTCAGGGCAGCCCTCCGGGCCTGGGAATGGCACACAGTGCAGCTATTTCAGGTTGTGCAGGTTGTGGCCCTGGGGCTGGCCATTTCTGCTGAACCCAGGGCCTGCATTTGGTCTGAGCCAGTGGGCACCATTTTCCCTTTCTGGTTCCTGGAAGATAATCGCTCTTGTTCGGTGGCCAGATGCAGTGAGATCTTGGCCAGGCAGGGAACGTCTCTCACTCTGGCCTCTCAACGTGGTCAGCAGGGTACTGTAAGGCCTCTCCAGAAGGGGCAGTGGGGCCAGTTGGACCTCCCTCTCCCCCCATCTCACATACTAGGACTCAGGAGGTTTTACAGCCCGAAGGAAATGCTCTCCTGGTATTTTACTTTGAGGGCAGATTCTGAATGGGCCTGCCTTCACCCAAAGTGGTGGAGGAAGAGCAGATTTGCTCATGGTGCAGGGTTTGTGCGTGCATGTGTGCATACACATATACTGTCACTGAGCACACCCCAAGAACTTTCTGTGTGTACTGGATTGTGGGCCTTTCTGCCTGGTGGCCTGGACTGGTGGGGAGAGAGGGAGAGACCACCCGTTACAACAGCACAAGACCTGCTCCTTCACAGGCATTTGGGATCAGAGGAGAGCTGCTGGGTGGGGAGCAATAGAAGGCTTTGAGGAGAAGAGCTGAGCTGAGTCTTAAAGGATGGGCAGGAGTTTCTCAGGGGACTCTGGAGTAGGATGAGGAAGGACATTCCAGGCAGAGGAAGTAGCTTACGCAGAGGCAGGAAGCATGGGAAGGCATGGCATGTTTGGGGAGTTGCAGATAGTACTATGTGGGCCTGTGAGGGGGTGTGGTGGGAGAGGAGGCTGGCAAGGCAGGCTGGGCCAGAGACTGGGTTTTTCCCTTCCTCTGCAGTTCAGACACTCAGTGGGCATCTGCTCTCGTGGGTTGTGGCCCCTGCTGGACCTGGGGATGCAGAAAAGGAGTGCCACAGGTGGTTGTGGGGACAGTTCTGGGCAGTATTGTGTGGGCCACTGAAGATGACCTTGCATGCTGGGCTCAGGAGTTTCATCCTAGAGGTGAATTGGGAGCCATGAGGGTTCTAAGCAGGATTATCACAGGTGTTCTGGTGCATTTTGGGGACTGAGGAGGATGTTGAGCTGAAGTGATTCCAAGAAAGACCCTAGGATCCAGACTCAGGCAGGCCAGGGGTTGAGAGAAGAGATGAAGTTACCTTCCATCCAGATTTCCACGTGGCTTATATTGGAGCTTTCTTTTGTACAGCCTAGGTTGCTAGGGTCAGGAACAGGAAGAGAGCTTTGCAGCTGACACTGACCCTGCTATGATCAGCCTTTCTGGCTTCCTCAAGTCTTTGAGTGTGAGTGGGGCAGTGGCACCATCTAGAGACAAGAGTTGGAACTGCAGTGATCTCCAGCGCCCCTGCCTGGGTGGGTAGGCGGGATGAGTGGCAGGCAGAGAGAACTGACTGCTGCAAGGCAGACTTGCTGTGGGCAAGAATTTACAGCAAAATGTTGGTGTGGGAGGTGGGGTGCCACTGAGCCACCCTAAGGCTCCCCAAGAGGGTGTTTGAGCCTAAGGATGGGCAGGGAGGAGCTACATGTTCAGAGGTTTGGGTGGATGGGCATTCTAGGCCAAAGGTCACTTATATGGCCTGTGTCGTAGCTACTAATAACCTACAACAATTATGGAGGATTTGCTGAGTGCTGGACCGTGGTAGGGCCTCATGCAAAATATTTAATATGGCAGTTCTGTAAGTAGATATCAAGGAACTGGGGCTCCAAGAAACCAAGGGACTTGTCCAGAATCACACGACTCAGGACTCACACCCAGGCCTGCCTCTTTCCAGAAGTTATGGTTCTGACCACTGTACCATGTTGCCTGCCACTAAAGCTCTGAGCCAGGCTTAATAACATAAGATTCAAGGGGTAACAAGGGACCAGAGCCACAGAGAGTTGGGGTGACTCCCAGGGACTGTGAGGGCCTGGAGGTGAGAGCCTGGAGTCAGTACCCAAGTGCCAGGCAGTTAGACACCAAGGACAGGTTGGGTTGGCCAGAGTAGGAAGGCAGATCGGGGCTGAGAAACCCCAGGGGACTGTTGACCGGGCTTGAAAAAGGCCAGAGGTGAGAACAAGTGAAAATGACTATACAGTGCTGAGAAGGTGGGCTGGGGAGAGGAGCAAGTGGAGGTAGAGGGAGTTTAGAGGTCAGTGGGCCCTGTGTCCGGGGACCCAGGAAACCCCAGGATTGAGAGCATGAGGAGGTCTGTGGTGAGTCTCTTTGATTCAGGAACATATATACCTCTGAGGGCTCAGCCTGAGGGCTGGTACTGACTCGGGTGGCAGGAGGTGAGACACACTGGGGCCCCTCGATGCCAGGAGGAGTTCTGGGCCTTGTAAGCCTGGGGCTAGGCCTAGGAAGTGTCAGGGACTCACATAGGCACCTTACCTGGCTGAGGTTTGTGGGAGATGGGATGGAGGGAAGCAGGGTGGAGTGCAAGTCCTAGGGGCCCAGAGAGATTTGGTGGGGAACCAGCAGTCTCTGGCTTAGCTAGGAAGGGGCAGGGCCTGGAATAGGACCCGGCGTGCTTGTTGGAGGAATGGATGAAGAGGTGGAGGAGTCCTGCAGCAGGATGCCTGCAGGAAAGCAGTTCTCTCCATCCTGGTATCTGGGGCTGTGCAGCCTCTTGGAGCTGGTGGTTCTGCCAGGCCCGAGCTGGCACAGAACCCAGGGGGCAAGCGGTCTGAGGGCCTCCTTCCTTTGCCCAACGCAACACCTTTGCTCTCCCTCCCCAGGTGCCACCCGAGAAGTGCCGCTGTGCAGTGGGCAGCATTCTGAGTGAAGGCGAGGAGTCACCCTCCTCTGAGCTCATCCAGCTCTACCAGAAATTTGGCTTCAAGGTGTTCTCCTTCCCGGTACCCAGCCACGTGGTGACAGCCACCTTCCCCTACACCACTGCCCTGTCCATCTGGTTGGCTACCCGCCGGGTCCATCCTGCCCTGGATGCCTACATCAAGGTGAGACACAGGCCTGGGCGGGGGTGTCAGGGGTGGGAGTGCAGCCAGTACTTTGGGTGCAAGCCAGGAAGGACTTGGCAGGCTGGGAGGGAAAGGTGGTGTTGGGAGGGCAGCATCCTGGGCCCTCATGAAACAGGTGCTTGTGAAGCTAGGAAGATCGGCAGAGGCTGCTGGCATCTCTTCTAGATGCCAAGATCTTATGGGCACCAGAGTGTCCAGTAGGAGCACTGGGAGCTCGTTCAGGAACCTAGCCTGTTCAGTTCAGATCTGACTGGGGCCAGAGACATCCTTAGTGCTCAGCCCCTACTCCAGACTCAGATGGATGGACAGGCCCACCTGACCCCATCGTGCTGGAGGCCTGCGGAACAAGGGGCCTGAGGCTCCCAGTGGGTGGCAGGCCCCAGGTGTCCGTGTGTTCGCCCTGGTCCTGCCTCCACATGGGTTCATGTACCTGTTTCCTGGGCCCAGGACTGGGGCAGCAATGGCAGGCCTCCTTTCCTTTGGTTCCCAATCTGGTTGGCAATGCTGGCAGACCCGTCTGCTTGGAGGAAGCAAGAGCCCAGCCACCGGGAGGTCTGAAGAGGTTTTTTTTTTAACTTTCCCTGTTGCACATCCCTTTACTCTAAAACATTTTGTGAACTTGGGTGCTAGGTCAGTGACCCCAATTTGGGCTTAGAAGCAATTGTTTAGTCACCTATCCAGCTTGTCTATGTGTTGGGTCCTGTGCTGGACACAATGTGAGATGTTGGTGTGTGAAATACGCCTTTACAGTGAGGTGTGGAGATAGGAAGGAACAGTGAGAAAAGGCATGGGACTAGCTTGGACCGAGTAGTCGGGGGCAGCCTCTCAGAGGAGTAACCTCTTGGGCAGAATCCTGGAGGAGCCCTTAGAGAAGAGGGTAAGCAGGTTCTGAGCAGAGAGAGGAAGAGCCAAGAGAGGGGGTTTGATCTAGAGGCAGGGGGAAGTCACTGCAGTGTTTCAGCAGGAAGGTGACGTGTCCCAGTCCTGGGCAGGGAGGGACCGATCAGACTGATCACAGCTCATGGGGTTGGTGTGAATCCTAGTGTGACTGGGCTGGGACTGGGGCTGTAGAGATGCAGACAAGGGCAGAGATTTACTGTTTTAGGGGGAAGAGCTGAGGGACTGTGGGTGGATTGGATGCTGGGGAGGGGAGGGGAGGGGATGGGTGGGAAGAGTTGCAGCAGGCCTTGGCCCCTGTGGGCTGGGCGGACGAGCAGGCATGCAGTAGTGCTTTTCACTGAGGCATGGGGAGCTGAGGGGTGCCTGGTTTGGGGCAGCCAGCGTTGTGGGCTGTGTCAGGTGGTGCAGAGCCTGGAGTTCAGAGAGGGTTGGGCTGGTGGATCTGTTTGGGGACGTGAACCTATCAACAGCATTGGCCCTAGGGACGCTCTGGGCAGCGAAGACTGTACTGAAGACATCGCCAGTGTGGTTGGGGTAGGGAATGGAAGAAAGTCGGCAGGAGTGTGAGCTTGGTGGGCTTGTGGGAACGTAGTGCTTTGTCTCCAGAGCAGCCTGGGCAAAGGGATGGGGCCTCGTGGTGGAAACGGGAGCTCTGGCAGGCCAGGCTACGGGGGCGTGAGAGTCTGGTGTCAGGGCTGTGTATGAATCACTGGGGCCTGGGTCACCAGCATGGCCTTGGTGGTTAAGGACAGGAAAAGAAGAAACGAGAGCTGTTGTTGCAGCAGGACAGGGCACAAGGAAGACAGAGGTGGCTTCCTTTGTGAGCTGGGGGGTGGCAGCCAGAGGGTGCTGGTGGGGGTGGGCTGGAGGCTAAGGGGCAGGGTGAGGCAGGAGGTCCTAGCTAGCGATGAGAGCAGAACAGGAGACATCAGTGCCCAAGGCTGCTCAGCATGTCTTCTGGGGTGGGGGGCTCACCCAGTTCACCCAGGGGGAGGGCTGGTGTATGGTGTCTTCAGTTCTGTCTGTCATCCTCCACCTCGAGGGCCAGCCTAGAGGAGCACCCCTGGGAAGAGGCTTTCTGGGTTCCAGACCTCAGAACAGGATGCATGGCATGTGGCATGGTGGCGAGCAACTCAGCCACCAAAGCCTTTTCCTGGCTTCAGGGTTTTATTTTTAGACACCTTTGTCCAAATTTCCCGGCCCCTGACAGCTTCACAAGTTGCCTGGTTTTGACGTCACCTCTTTGATGAAAACCCTTCTTCCTCCCTCCTCTGCTGCCACCCCCTCCTCCCCCCATGGGAGCCTGTCAGCTGTGCTCTGGGCTTGATTCTCCTGAGGCAGGGCTGGAGCAAGGGGAGTACCATCCTCTTTCCTGCCTGGGATGGGGAAGCCAGGGGTAGAGGGGAGAGCAGGGGGCTTCTCCAGGGATGTCTGTGAGGCATGCTGGGCCTGGCCACCAGCTGGGAGAGAGAGACGCCAGGCTGTCCACAGTGGAGGTATTGCTCAAGGTGCTCTATTGGGTTCTGGAGGCAGAGGTCACCTCTGCCCCTGTCTAGCCAGACCTGGTGTTTTAGGGAACGAAGTCAGGTGACAGATGAGGAAGGGGCTGGCTCTGTTTTTGGCCTCAGCCTGTAGTGGACAGAGGGTGTCCTGTGCCTCTCTCAGCCCAGGAGACAGAGAGAAGAGAACATAAGGCTCCCTCCCACACCTGCCTTCATCCCCACTGCCTGGGAGCAGGGAAAGGAGGCTGCTAATGAGACTGTGGCTGTTCTGACTCCCCCAGCCCTGACAGCTGGCTGCTTTTCTCTCTCTCTCTTTCTCTCTCTCTCTCTCTCACACACACACACACACACACGTGGGGGAGGGGGAGAGAAGGAAGGAGGGAGAACGTGCACCCTTCTCTTTCTTTACCTCTCTGAATTCTCTCTGGATCTGAGGCTGGGCTGGTAGGTGCTTCACATGGATGACAGCAGCTTGCTGTTTCATGGGGAGGGGCAGTGGGGAATGGTCTCAGAGCTCCAGCAGTTGCAGTTGGGCCTGAGCCTAGGGCAGGATTGGTCTCATGGGACAGTGAGGTTCTTGGGTCACTGTGAGGAACCCAAAGAGAATCATTTTTCAGGTCTCTGGGGATTCTGGAAGGATGGCTGGATCCCAGTTCTGTGGTCTGTGTGTTGCCCTTGGGTCTCTGGCCAACCTTACCCAGCCTGGCAGCCCAGGCTATAGGGGCTGGAACTCAGCCTTTCTTCACGGAAACCACTGTGGGGCCCAGGCTGAGCACTGTGGGCAGCGTGTGACTGTCAGTCTGTGGAAGATGCCCTGGCTTTGTCAGGCTGATCCCCCAGAGTCCAAGGAGGTGGCCTCCAGGGCAGGAGAACACTCCGTGACCCCAGGAAGAGGGATCTCCTGGTGGCTGTAGGAGGGAAGTGAGCTTCCTTGAAATCGCAAGGCCACAGAGGACATGAGGCCCAGGTAATCAGCCTGGAGCAATAGAAGAAGCCCCCAGATTCACCGCAGGGTGAAGGTTGGGGCACATTGAGCAGATAGGACTGAGTGAGAGGCCCAGGGATCCCTTGTGTGGGATTGTGTGTGAGAGGTCCCTGAGCTCTGTACCTGGCTCACATCTGTCTCTAGCAGTTGGCAGGGGAGGTCACTGAAAGTGTGAGACTGGCAGCCAAGCCCCCTGTGCCTGACCTCCTGTCAGCAGGATTCACAACTTTTCCGTAAACCCCCTTCCCCAGGGTCTCTGCTTCCTGGGAGTTTTCAGGTAGAGGGTCCTTGTGAGGTTTGGGCATCTTCTCCCGAGTTTAGGGAGGCACAGGGCATTGTCTGCGTGGAGGCTGGTTGGCTGGGAAGTGCCTTGGATGTCAGACGTTGGTACTTTCTCCATAGAATTGGAGAGGATCTGGGAGAGGATAGTAAGCCAGCAGACAGATCTCATTTGCATATTAGGTATTCAGTTGAGCAGAATGCCACTTACCCCACACCTCCAACATGCTACAAACTTTGCTAAGCACTTTATGTGCCTCACCTTAGTCTAACATGGCGTCCAGCAAGACACTCAGTAAACGTTTACGTGAATAACAACAGGCCAGCTGGGTTGATGGGTTGTCCTGCCGTGGATGAAAGTGGCAGGGACTCAGACCATAGTTCTTGGACTGCTGTGAGCAGCAGCCTCGGGACTGTGCTAGGGTGCCCCCATGGCTGGAAGCCAGTGATGATGGGGCTTGAACTTGGACCGTTATCTGCTTCGACTGGAGTAGCTCTGCCTCTGGGTGTTACAGACCAGATGACCTTGTGAGCTTTTGTTTGGAGAAGTAAGTGACTGCACTGAGGGGCCAATAGGGCTTCCCTTATTAAAATTAAAGCTTGAGACCCTTCCACATTAGCTCAGCAAAGGTCATAGACATGGAGAGAGAGATGACCCCAAATTTTACTCCCATTGGGGCTTCCTCATCTGGATTCCCACTGCCAGGGCCATGCTGCTCCACACTGGTATTCTGGCCCTGAGGTCTGGGAGGCTGCTGTTGGAGCTAGGAGCAAAGGGCAAGAAGAGCCAGGCTACCCATCTGGCCAGCAGGCACTCGTGAAGGGAGACTTGGCAGCTGTCACAGGCACAGAAAGCAGCTGCTGCAGGTGCCTTTTTGGGCCTTGTGTCCTCACCCTGAGTGAGGTGGAGACAGCTCTATTCCCAGATTCCCTCACTGGGGCTCCAGGGCCAGCTCACCTGCCAGTGCTGCCACCTGCTAATAAGCCTTCCCCAGCTCAGAGAGGAGGGCACTCTCAGCGCCAGGACCTGGAGCTGAGTGACAAGCCCCCAGACTCTTTCTCCCCCAGAGCCCCCAGCCACAGGGCTTAGCCTTGCCTACGGGGAGTGGAGTTGGGAGGGGCGGGGTGGCTTCAGTGGGAAAGGCAAAGCAGCCTTGGGGTGGGGGGGGCATTTGGGCTGAGCCTTGAAGGATAGGTAGTGTTCTCCAGGTGGGAAGGCAGGTTGGGCAGAGGCACTGACTTGGGCATGGAGGTGAATATATTGTGGCTTGAGTACACGAAAGGAGCAACAGTTTGGGCCCAAGAGATGAGGC